TAAATCTAATTAAATTTAATAAGGATAACATTAAACCTAAATGAAGGTCTTGGACACATTGATACAAACACCAACCTTTAAGAGCAGGAACATAGTCCTGCTGCGCTGTGATCTGCAAGTACTCTGCAACTGCCTCCTTGAACTTGCCCAGGGTCTGTTTGATAGCAGCAGCCTGGTAGACACTGTAGATGGAGGAGGGTTGAAGCTGATGGGCCTTACCAAAGGCCTTAAGAGCTGCTGTGAAGCTCCGGCGGTTTAGGTAGGCCTCACCTAAACACTCCCAACACACCCAGTCCTCAGGGTCTGCTCTCAGAGCTGCCTGCAGACTATAAACATAAATTAAATGGTCAATAATGCTCATAAACATACCAATGATAATCTAGAAAATGATAAAGTCCTAATGTAATACATATTACTGTGTGAGTTTTAAACTCTTACTCAGCTGTGGCTTGCTGATGCTCTCCAATCTTCAGGTAGTACAGCCCTCGTCTCATCCAAGCCCATTTAGCTGAGCCCGGAGTGGCTTTCTCAATCACTGACTGAAGTATTGCTAAGGCAGTGTCCTATGGCATTTAGGAAAGAGGAAGGCAAGAATAAAAAAGGGGAGATAGGGAAAAGAGGAACATGGGGAGGGTCAAGACAAGAGAGAAGCACCTGTAAGGAAACACTGTAACAAAATGCCAACGCCACACATGAACGACAACAAATCCACTTACCATATCGTCCTGCTCCATACTGAGATCCACTGAGGCAGCTCCAGACACTTCATCATCGTTGTCCAACTCAAAGGCCTTCTTATAGCAGCCCCGTGCCCGGCCAAGATCCTTCACCACCTCCCGGTAATAATGTCCAAGGTAGCGGAATACACAACCGAGGTATGGGTCTAACTTTGCAGCCTGAAATGGGCAAATTAAGCTTTCAAACTAAGATTCTATTCAGCTATACAATTTACGTCAGGCAATAAAAAAAACAGGTTGTGAAGTTTATTTGTGAAACGGTTATGTCCTTTAACACCAATCTTTCTTACACTGGCCCATCAATATGTTAGTTTTTAAAAATGAATATATAGTGAAATACAATTCCCCCTACCTACCAAAAATTTCTATAATAATTACTAAGTAATAAGTACTGACCTTGAGCAAATGTGTATGGGCTTTGCTCCGGTCTTTACGGGTCTCTTCTCCCATGTCCCAGTAGAGTTGTCCCAGCAAGAAATAGTATTCTGCACAGCCTGGGCTCTGGCTAGTAGCCTTTAGAAAACTAAACAGCAGAAGAGCAAGAGAGTTCAGAAGTTCACTAAAGAGAACTAAACCATTTTACAGCACATAAAAGGATAGTTTGATTTGACCAGATTAAAAACACACATGCACACAAAAAGAAACCCTCAGTTTTTACCTTTCCTCCGCCAGCTGTTGCTGACCCTGAGCCAATTGTACCAGTCCTCTCAGTACCGACCCCAGGGGCAGGTCAGGGTTAGAGGCCACCAACTCGGAGGACACCTATGAAGACATCAATCTTGCTTTTTTTCTTATTTCACATTTTATTGAAAAACAATTATCTCAAGCTGTTATTATTATCCAGTTATTATCCACATTAGAGTAACAATTTACTATATAATATAATGCATTTCCTAAAGGATAATTTCTTTAATCTGACATCCTCACAGACAGAAATCAGTAGGTAGAAGGTTTCCAACCTTTAGTGCTTGATCACTTTGTCCCTTGTTAAGGTATGCACGTCCTTTAAGGGCTAATAGAACTGGGTCTTTTTCAGCATCTGGGATCTAAAAGAAAAAAACAACAAAAAAAACAAGATATAGATATTTACTTGGTTACAACAGCTAAACCCAGAATGAATAAAAACCCTTTAACTGCTGAATTCCTTAATAAATTACCTGTGAAAATGTCTCCAAAGCCTGGTCTGCATCCTTCTCTCCTCCATTCCTGACTAAAGCCTCCAGCTTCAGCCTAAGCAGTTTGGCCCTCAGCTCCTTGTCTCCAGACACACACACTGTCAGGCCTAATGGAACCAGACACACAGTGAAGTTCATTATCTGCTTCAGGGACAAAAGACAGCTGCCCTTTAAAGAAGGTGGTAAACATCCTTGTTTCATTAACAAATCCCTCTGTTGTTGTTTTCAATTGAGGTCGGATTGGACATATTGTTCTGGACTTGCTGGATCAGTGATTGCATGCTGCTGAGAGGCCATCTGGATGACTATAGTAATATACAGCAAACTAAACATACCTTGGGAGCATGACGTAGCACTGTCTAAGTATTTCTGCATTTTAAACTGAGCTTCAGCCAGGCTGCACCATCCTGTACTGGAGCTCATTTTCTTCAACCCTAATCAAACAGAAGAGACAGATCATGGGTAGTTAGCACAAAAACTTGTGCCTTTTACATTAAGAACGAAGTCCATTCTTTGTTGATGCACAAACTAACCTTGTGCAAGGTCCTTAATGGCATCTTTATACCTCCCTTCTCGCAGTGCTTTGGTGCCCAGACCCAGGTGACTTAATCCACTGTTAGGGTCCAGATCCTGGAGCCGGGAGAAACAGCTGACTGCACGCTCATTCTGAACACCTTCAAATACAAATGTAACATGTATTAAGAGTGGGACTGAATACCTGAAGGTGAAGTTTCATTGCATTAGGTGATATAAGCAAGACAACAGTATCATACCTGTTTTGAGGTAGTGAGAACAAAGGACTTCAAGAGGATAACTTTGTTTGGGGTAGAGGGACAGCATGGACTCACATGCCTTTTTCATTTTGGCTTCTTCTTGTGGCAGCTACAGTAAGGGGAGATGTGTGATGAGCAGCTGATTATGAAAATACCTGTACAGGGCCAAACATGAGGTGGCCAACTATTTTTGATGAACATGACCACATTGTTATTGTCCTTGAATTTCTGTGGTGGTGGCACAGACAAGTACACTTACTTTAGAAAGACATTTGATATAGTCCATTGAGACCTTTTTGTGGTCCTCTCCTGGTACAGGATGCATGAGAACCATGGACTTCTCAAATGCTGTGATTAACTGATGGCCACAAACAAACAACAATTATCAAAGGGCAGATGGCATAGAGATTCATGCACTAAAAACAGCATTAAGAAGAATATTATGTTTGTCAGTCAGTAGGAGAAATATAAGCTTTTGACTTCCACAGGGTAAGACAACCCCCTGTAAGTTCTGACTATGTGTGTCGCTGAGTTAAAGACCACAATTGGGGAAATCTTACATGCTGTCGCGTTTCGTTGTCTTGGTCTTCCTCATTAAGGCAGTCTGAGAGGAGTTGGGTCATCTGTTGCCATAGCTGCAGCAACTCTTTCTTGTCTACAGCCTCTTCCTCCTTCAGCTGAAGGAACTGCAGCCAAAGCTTTGCCAACTACGTGAAAGCAAACAAATGCATTCAAATGCGTGAAAGGAAGACAAAACTGTGCATGTTTTTAATTGAACACACATGCCTTTAAATTACATACCTTTAAATATTCTTTGTCAGACTGATAGATCTCTGACAGCTTTTTGATCATCTCATAACATTTATTTTTGTCAGAGCTGTTAATGGAGAACATAAAGAGAATCAATAACATCGCAAATAGCAAGCAAAATCATCACAACTTCCTTTGAAAATTCAAGAAACAGTGTTTTTTTCCCATACATTACCTTGCATACAGCTCAACAAGCTTCTGATAGACTGTAGGTAGCTCAACTTTGAAATCCCACTGATCAGTCTTCTCATAAAGATTTGCCAAGCCCTAAAACAAAAAAGCATACATTTAACACTTTTCTAAATGAATGGAGCTGGGGACTAAAAAGTTAGAATCCGTACAAATTAACACATTTTAAAGGACTGTGCCACTCAACAGTGGCATCCAGGTGGAAATGAATTAGGTTCATTTCAGCTTAAGACATATAAATTATCATTAATGAATCGCTCTCAGTGTAAGACATGCAAAATGTTGTTTGTATGAGCCTGGAAGGACCTTTAAGCACTGAACACTACAGTTCCCCACCTTACCTGCCATGCCAGTAGCTGCTCAGGCTCCAGCTCCACAGCCTTTTTGTAAGCTGTCTGGGCCTGATCTGGTTGGTCGAGCTCACTGGCTGCCAAGCCGATGAACACCCATGCATTATAATTGTTCTTCTCAAGCTTCAAAACAGCCTAAAACCACATTTAAGAGAGGAAAGTCAGCTTAACAACGTATCTGTTAGCCTCATTCAGGACCCAGACTGCTTGGAATAGATGCACATCAACACAGCCGAGAGCTCATGTAAATATCTCACATTTCTGAGTATCTGAATCTGTGATGCTTTACCTTGCAGTGTTTAAGAGCCTCTTTGAACTCTTTGTTTTTTATAGCCTCTCTGGCACTTTTCAGTGCTGTTTTCACTTCTTTGCTAGACATCTTGTAAAGACCTGAGTGACAGAAAGAGACATATAAAAAAAGAAACATTGTCACATTACGAGCCCAAAATAACAGCTGTAAGCTACACCTAGTTGATCTTGCAACACACAAATCCCCCGTATGAATGAATGACAAGCTAATGAACGCTAACACTATTTCTCTGACCAAGAGTTAGCTGGAGTTTGTATTAACTGTTAGCAGTGCTGGCTAGCTAAATGCAGGTTAGCATGTTAGCTATGAGCTTGTCAGAGCACCTAAACTCATTTATTTTAGAATGAAAACTGGTTTCAAACCTTAATTGAAGCACAATATGTTGTTTATTCAGCTGGCTGAGGTGTTATCCAGAATTATTTTGCTAATGAGAACAAAACTTGGGTCGACCCATTGTTTACGTTGACAACCTGCTCGCCTGTTGGGTGACACGGAAGTGAAGTAGCCACACCTGCTCTGAATTTTCAAAATAAAATCATTTGCAGTTTGGTCCACTTGAGTGTGCGCAGGTATAACCAAGAATAACAATCAAGCAATAAATTAATAAGTGAACAAAATATTTATTGATTTTTAAAGAATGAATGTCTTGGACTGTGTGAAGGTAATTAAGAAACTGTTTATTTTCTTTTTGAAAATCAAATTTGATCAAAAGAATGTTAGAAAAAATGAATGAATTAAGAAATGAATAATGGAAATAATTTAAGATACTTGTACATGACTATAGTATACATGTCATGGTCATGTTACATGTAATTCCCAGTTAAAAAGTCTGTGTATCAGAGATGTGACATATGAGCATAAGTGAAGATTTAATTAAATGGTGAGCCTAGGACATTAAAAAAAGCATACTCTGAGATTATCCATCCATTAAAACTATTACAGATCCATAGAGCCACCAGTCCAAGTTGAGCCCAGCTCATTTAAAAAACCCAGACACCTTAAAGTTAACCATCCTTACAACTGTAAAACAATATCACAAAGAGCCATTGAGCCATTTGTCAATAGCTCTCTCATTGGCTAATGCATCTTTCTGCCAATCCACATGCCACCTGAGGTTAGCAATGACCTGGCTGTAGTTTCTCTCCAAACTGTGGCGCCAGGCACCAAATGCTTCTTTATTGTAGAGGTGGACAGCGTTAGAGACTTTTGGATAGTCTACAATGCTACGCAGTAGCTTGTCCAGATGTGCCCGCACATCTGGGAATTTGATAACTACATTATGAAGTTCTTCCTTGTCCAGTGTTACGTCTGCAAAACACAGAGAATACAGAAAATCAAGAAGAGTCAGAGCATTGTGATTGATTTTTTTCTTCTTGAAACTATATGAGGGTTGAGTGACTGAAGTTTACTTTTAGCTAGGACCTCACCAAAAAGCTGGGGAGGGACACTCAGGCCATCAGCATATGCAATATATTTCCACCGGCCACTTCTCAGCATGTATGTAGAGGCATTGACATTACAACCATGATATTCACTCAGAACCCAGTCTGGATGTCGCTTCTTGGAAAAAGATCTGGCCTTGGACAGCAGTGGAAGGAGCGAGTGGCCACTGAGAATACCTACTGCCGAAATACCAGCAATGTCTGCAAAACAGATAAAGTGTGTTACACAAGTGTGATCAAGTTAAAATACTAAAATCAAAATGTACTATTCCTTTTATTTTGTTGCTTCAACAGACAGTTAAATTCCTGACTACTAACACACTTTTATTCTAGCGTTCTATCCCTTTCAACTGACATTGATTTATAATCTTTAATAGACATTTTAATCCTATGTTTTCTGTCTACTTCCTTACCCAGCACAGTAGGATAGAGATCAACCAAAGACACAAGCTGGTTGACTTGCAGGCCAGACATCAGCCCAGGTCCCATGATCAGCAGGGGAACATGGGAGCTTCCTTCAAACATTGACATCTTGTAGAACTGCCGGTGCTCCATTGCTAGCTCTCCGTGGTCAGCCGTGAAAATCACAACAGTGTTGTTAAGCTGGCCAGTCTCCCTCAGAGCTGAAATCACCTGGCCTGGTGAGACAGAGGGTGTGGGAGACACAGAGTAAGCATTTAGCTGCTGTGACAGGATAAACTGGCGGTAAGAAGAAAATGTTGTATGCCTTTAATATTTTAACTTTGGGTGTGAAAGTAAATGAAGACAAAAATATTATAATATATATAATATGGGCAATACAGAGAAATTCTTAATAATGTTAATATTTTTTTAATAAAAGCCTAATTCCTAACCTGGGGAACAGAAAAATAGTATTATTTATATGACACTTTCATTTCATTGTACCTATACAAAAAATGTGAGTCATTCAAGTCAATGTAGCCATTTTTTTTAACAGGCTGCACTGAATCAACAGTAATACTGCTACAGAAATTCAGTGTAAATTGGATAATAGTATTACTGATCAAATGTAGCTACATGTAGTTGATTGCTATGCCACGCCTTGTTTTATAGCCAGTGGTACGCTGGCTGTGCTGCAAACATCGTCACAGAAACTCTTTCTCTACAGCTACTTTACTTCAGTACTTGTATTTTTGTCCATGTTGGGATCCTGTTTTTTTAGGATTTATGAACCTTAACAAAGAAACTGCTCCTTGCAGGTTTGTCTGCTTCATTAGTTATCTTGCAAGAGAGTTTGGTTTGAACTTGAGTCGTCTTTGTGGGTCCACCACCTCCTACTTATAGAGACTGCTCCCTGGTGAAATACTGCTGTCAACTAACCCAGCATGGCATCTGCTTCAGCACACATGGCATAATAGAAGGCCCTTATGCTTTTGACTTCCTCCTCTGTGAAAACACCACTGCAGTTTTTGGTGAAGGTAGAGTAGAAGTCAACCGGGTGCATGGCCGCCATAGGCAGCCATTTAGGAACAGTGATGAGCTCAGAAGACACCTGTGTGTAAAATAAGAACTTAAAATTCTATAGTCATGATTTATATAAAATATACAATGTAATTTTGCAAATATGGAGTGAAAACATTCGAGAAACAGGCAAAGAAAAAGCATGCCTTTCCCAGCCAGTATGGTGAGGTGAGGAAGGTGGATCCTCCAGCAGTGGGCCCCAAGGATTCAGTTTTATAGGGGTGAGGTAAATTGAGGCCAAGGTAAAGAGCAAAGGGCTGGTGTGAGGATGCAGCTCTCTGTTGAATCCACTGCGTAGCCTTGTCTGTGTTTTCCCAGTCTTTTCTCATGACCCTTACTGTTGACATGTTCCCAGCAAGTTGCGTAACAGGTCGGCCCTCCTGGCGCAGGAGGAACTGAACATCGCGTGTCCAGGCCTCAACTCGATTACTGCAAAAGTTGCAGAAACACACAAATACCAACTAGATGCAAGCAGAGACACAAAAACTGGGAAGTGGAAAGAAACGTGTTAGGACAGAAAGATGATTCACAGTGTTCTGCAAAATAGCTGCCCACATACACAGTATGTTGTTGCTTATTCATGTGTATATACCAGTATGTATGTGTTATACTGACTTTAGTTTGGTGAATATGAACAGGAAAAGGTTTGTGAAGGTGTTGTCTTATCCAGGATACTCGCTCACCTCTCTACACATCCCTGACAGCATCTGCCTACCTGACAGAGTGACTCCCTGAGGTGTAGTCCAGCTTGCCCATCATCTTGGTAAGATATCCATTTGCCTCCAGCAAATCCATCCATGTTGTTGCGTTAGCATCCAGGCACTTGTAGTTGTTCCATGACTGAGTGAGGTGAACAAACTGACCGCTCCACATGGCTGAGAATAAAGATTAAACCCACTAAAACTACATTTAATATTACACATTTATTACCATTTTAATTACCACAATATATTTCTTTTTATAAAGGTTGTTTGCCTTTTTATTGCTCAAGATTGACAGGAAAGGGGAGAGAGAGAGAGAGGGAATGACACGCAGCAAAGAGCCACAGGTCGGACTCGAATCCATGGCCACTGCTCCAAGAGGACTCAGTCTCAATACATGGGGCACCAGCTTTACCATTTGAGCTACCAGGGTGCCCGCCACAATATCTTTCTAGTTGCAATGTAAGAGAAAGCCCCAGAGCCTTTTAGCGGGTAACTTACCTGCTCTTGAGGGGCAGCAGATGGGTGAGTTGGTGTAAGCATTGAGGAATGTGGTACCAAGCTCCCTGAGGTAGTTTACATATGGCAGCCGCACAACTTTGCTGCCAGGGTCAAAGGTCAATCGCCCATCCTGGAGAAAGAGGAAATCCGACATTTAGATGCAAAGCCATTGAGATACACAGTCAAACAAAGATTAAACATGAAAGAAAGCATTTTTGTATAGTGTTTAATCCTGTTCTCTACTAATGCTTCAGTCTAGGGTTATACACGAAAACTACTGCTACTGCTTACAGTAGTAAAGCACTGTAGTGTATCATACTTACAAATGCATCACTCATCACCATCACAATGTTGGGTCTGGTTCCATTTTGGCACAAACTTTGACCATAAAGTTGAAACAGGAAAACCAAAGGCAACACTTTTTTCATGACAGCGTTTCACCCTCCTCACATCTGGTGATTTACTGATGTAAATAAAGAAGAGATTTGTCTAGACAGGATGGGATTCATCAGAGAAAACATTAAAATGTTCTTCTTTTGACTGCGAGTGATGGTTACTTTTGCGATTGAGGAACTTGGTATAAACATCCCGGTTACGCTTTCAAAATAAGAGTTTTCCAAATTAATTTAAAATAAAGCAGTCCAGCTGTACGAACTGAATATATTTTTTTTTAAGTGGAAAAAAAGAACGTAATTTATAAATGTACACATATTACCATTGCCACCAATCATTCAAAAAAAAAATTATCAGAGAAAAAAAGCTTAATAGGGGTGTTTTTTAAAACATGTAATGACAAACTGGAAACTGTAGAGGGCAGCATTCATCCTTTAACAAACCATCTGTGCTGCACAGTTTTGTTGAGCTGGCACTGTCATGATCACAAGTATCTGTAGCTGTGTGTGGAAAACCAAATATTTAGTTAGGATAATAACTGCTGAAATCAAATAGCCCCTCATATGACATGACTGAATCTGAGGCACTTTTTTAAATAATATGAGGTAACCTGAAATATGATTCCTAATTAATTGGTTATAATTTATTTTAATGATGGGTTTTAATCAAACACCATACAATTTTAATCAGATGACATCCAATACCGTTGATGTTTGCTGCATGCAACCGTGAACCTCCAAAGACACAGACATTATACACACACTTCCGGTAACTTATATGCTCATTATCGGCTAATTGTATTGCTGGATTGGTGCGGTACCTTGTAAACAATCACAATGGATCAGAATTGAAAGGGTTGTTATGCAGCTATGAATTGCTTGTTGAAAGCAATGCACATGAGTTACAGTGCTGTTCAACAGGTGATACTGCAGCTCCCTGTAGAGGCCTTAATGGCCACCAGGTGGCGTTTTGAGCCTTCAGAGTTGTTTTTCTGCTCAACACAATGAGAAATCCCACACCCCCCCCATATGTGCATGGCTCATTTTAATCTTAACACAAAAACAACATATGCGATGGATGCACATATAGGAAGCGTTTCTGTAAGTCTGCTCGCCCTCTTCCCCCCCTTCAATCGTAGGCCTACGTTATAGTATCCAGCAGTTCGGCATGGTCTCTGCTGCAGGCATCAAGCAAGATGCAGCTATTATTTTCTGTTAGTTGCACATGGATGTAGAGGTTGTAGTGAGCCTGGATATATGTGAGAACATATCTAAAGATACAGAATGAATGTGCAGACATTTTAAGCCATGTGCCTGGAAATAAGGCTGGAAGCTGTGTTAAAAAGATTCTGAGGCGAAGTACTATCCATGAATGGTTACAATATAATCAAAAATTACAAAGACTGGAAATGTGTATTTTCTAGTTCAATCAGCAAACATATTCCTTACATCGCTCTTGAACTACAAGTCTGGAAACAAGTTGGGGTGAGATATTTTTGGTAGATGTGTTCATGTATTTTAAACACATAAAGGCTAATATGTCACAAAAGAATACATCACCCAATTACCTGTAAAGTTTTATAAAACTACTGTGGTGAACATTTCTTTGTACAGTCTTTCAGCTGTTTGGCCAAACTTGTCATCTGGCTCAGTGCCACACTTCGCTGCCTTGTTCCAGAAGGCGGAAGGAGGGGGCAGTGAAGCGCCCTGCGCATGCGCCCAAGGTTGTTTTTCACACAGCCCTTCCCCTTAAAGTGAGCTGAGCTACGGGGGTTTCCTTGTCTTTGACTGGAGACCAAGTAGGAGAGAGGCGGACGATAACAGCATCCTTTGCTGTTATTCAGCCATCACACATCTCAATGAACTGCTCGCAAAGAAACCACTGATCGTGCCTACTGCTTTGTGCAGGGCAGAGATACTGATCAGTGTCTAAAAACTGCATCTCTTTTTCTTATGAGATTATTTTTTCATAGACTCTTTTTTTAACTTCAAGGTCTCTGTAGCCTCTCTCTCTTTCCACCATGGTGCTAGGAAAGGTAAAGAGCTTCACAGTAAGCTACGACTGTCTCAATGACAGCAATGTTCCCGTTTTCTCCAGCGGGGACAGCGTCTCAGGGAGGGTGATCATCGAGGTCACGGGAGAAATCCGTGTGAAATCTCTCAAAATCCACGCAAAAGGATTTGCAAAAGTTCGTTGGACTGAATCGAGAAATGCTGGATCCAACACTGCCTACACGCAGAACTACACAGAAGAAGTGGAATATCTAAATCACAAAGATATTTTAATTGGGCACGAAAGAGGTAAGAGAGTGTGATTTTATTTCATTTTTTTGGTAGAAGTTTTAGAGGAACTGATGCTCTTTGTGCTGGTTGGGGATCAGGTTCACTGGAGGATGGGGATGCTGTTGTCCTGAATGTCACAAACTGTCATAGTAACGTAATAATATTATTACAGAGATGGATAACTTACATATCGTTGCTCATTTCTGTGCTGGTGTTTGTATAAATGTGGTTTCATGACATTGGCTAGATACAGCTCCATCGTTACTTGTTTGTGTCAAGGTGTCAGAATGAATGACAGCGGCTCAGGCAACTGTGTTTTTCATAGTATTTCAAGTGTAAAACGAGAATTATACTCCGTTTTTAAGACACAGGGCGATAGCCTAATAACTTACGGTGATGTATCCGCGGCTTTGTTAGACATTTTCAACGAAGAAACGCATCATATTGGGTGTTTCTTTGTAGCTTTTCTTAAGTTTCCACCCATTGTTCAAAGCGGTTCAATCCTGTTCAGAAAACTGGAGTCGGAGAGGGCGGGGCGACGCGCATGCCCCTCCCTCGCCCGCGCCTCATTGGCTGAGGTGCTCATGTGTGGCCAATGACATCATTATCTTGCAGAGAGTGACATAAAATTCTGCAACTTTTTAATCAAGTGAAACACCTGCAAAATAGGACGAGTCGATGGAAGTAGCCGTAGTTTGATTTAAAATGCATTTAAAAGCTGCACTGGAGCTGCAAAGCTGATACCTTGTTTCAGTTGAATGTATCCATAATCTGCACAAAGGCCTATGTGTTTTTCTGTAGGCTAATATAATGTGACGTTCACTTAGGTTTTATGGCCAGCAGCATTGTGGTTGAGCCATACTGATCTCTCCCAACACAAATGGTGTCACTTCATCCACAGATTGGTTGATGCTTTTGAGAGTGAATCACCACCTTGTGTCTGTGCTTGCATATGAGTGCTCTTTTTTTTTTTTAATGGTTTGGGTTTTTTTAGCTTTTCTCCCTTTTTGCTCTTTATCATTGAAAGAATACATAGTTTCTGCTCCAGTCTGCAGCAGCCTATGTTTGTAGCAGGTGAACTGGGTTTGGCCTGATGTCACTGCGCTCGACAGTCATGACTGGAAGGCGAACTGTACAGCAAATTGTTCATTATCAGCCGGATAAAATGTTTACATTGAGAAGATGCGTTGTTGTAATAAAGCGCTGCTCGCCGATAATGGTACTTCATCAAAGGCTACATTATATCCGCTCTTTATGACACATTTCCCGTGACGCTGAAGTTGGGTAAACACGGTGGAAAACTGCGGTAGTCGGTGATCGGAACAGGCTTGTAGTAGTAGGCTGCGGTGTCGCACAGTGAATGCGTAATGAGAGCAGAGCGGCTGTGGGAAGCTGCTCACACCGGTTTAGGCCGGTCTCCTCCTGCTGGAGTCTGCCGTCTGACTGACAGCTCCGCACTTGTTTACCACACTGCTGCTGCTGCCTGCTAGGGGGAGGGAGTGCTGAGCTGGCAGAAGCACACCCGGCCGGTCTGTCGACCCAGCTCTTCAAAATGCACTCTTGATGTTTTTTTTTTTTTTAAATGAAAAATAAAATTGTACTCACTTACAAGCAGTTTGCCGATGCCAAAGTGTCCCCTCCTCCTCCTCCTTTAAAAACAAGCGAGAATTTCTTTTGGATTTGATTCCAGAGATCAACAGAAAACACATTTGTCCTTGTTAGTGAGAGAGCTTTATCTAGGTTACTGGATAAGATTTTCTAGTTTCCCCTTATAGCCTAGATTTCCTCATCATAGCTTATGTATTTTATGCAAATGGAGTCTAGTTTGTGCATACAAAAGCACAGTCTTGCACTTGAGTTAGTTTCTGGCACCTCAAACGATTAACTTCTTTGGTGTGCTCTAAAAATTATTCTCTCAATACATTAATTATAGACAGATATGATAGTAAAATCCCTTAATTCTCTTTTGTCTCCCCCACCCTGTGTTTTTGATATGACTTTCAGATGCCTTCGTAGAGCATTTTACCCAGGTATGGTATACATGTGTTTGGAATATTGTCCTCCTTGTTTTTCAGACGATGACAACTCTGAGGAAGGACTCACCACTATCCATTCAGGAAGACATGAGTATGCATTCAGCCTCGAGCTTCCACAGACGTAAGTGTCTTAACGTGCTGGAGTAAGAGATTAAACATCAGTACCAGCATTATTCAGCTGTAGCAAAAGTGAGCTTCTGACAGTCAATATAACCCATTTCTCCTCTTTTTCCTTATTCTTCTTTCCTGTAGACCTCTGGCTACCTCTTTCGAAGGAAAGCATGGCAGTGTTCGCTATTGGGTGAAGGCAGAACTCCACAGGCCATGGCTCCTGCCCATGAAGACCAAGAAGGAATTTACAGTCTTCGAGCACATTGACATCAACACTCCATTATTGCTGGTAAGCTCCTTTTGAAGCAGCCTTTGGTGCCATTCAATAGACTGAGGCATTGTACAAATGGGAAGATAGATATCGAATGAGTGTCAAAGTGAAAAAAGGGTTCTAGTTTTGTCTGAATACCCAGTATATAGCAGGAACAGGGGTAGGGTTGTGGTGGGGAATATGAATATATAATTAGCTAATGCTCTGTTTTCTTTTTTCTTCAGTCACCACAGGCCGGCACGAAAGACAAGACGCTTTGCTGTTGGTTCTGCACCTCAGGTCCTATTTCCCTAAGTGCCAAAATTGAAAGGAAGGGATACACCCCAGGTGAGAATAGGTTAATGATTAATAATGCAACTGATAACCTTGTTAGTCATCTATTAACCAGATAAGTTAATGGGAGTATCACACTCTGCAGATCACTGCATTGACTAGTAATTACACACGGGATAAAAAGAAGATTACCATTGATAGAAATTTAGAGAACATTTACTTAACCTCTCCTCTACCCTCTGAAACTTTGCAGGAGAGTCGATCCAGATCTTTGCAGAGATTGAGAACTGCTCATCCCGCATGGTGGTGCCAAAGGCAGCCATCTACCAGACCCAGACCTTCTACGCCAAAGGGAAGATGAAGGAGGTCAAGCAGCTAGTGGCCAACCTGCGGGGAGAGTCTCTGTCCTCGGGCAAAACTGAGACCTGGAGCGGCAAGATGCTGAAGATCCCACCTGTCTCACCCTCCATCCTGGACTGCAGCATTATCAGAGTGGAGTACTCCCTCATGGTGAGTAAAGACTTCTTGTATTTGGGACACTCCCCAACACTCACCCTTTTTTTTTTTTTCCACTCTGCCTCTGTTTAGACATCACTGGCATAGACTCATACATGTTTCATTACAGTCTCCTCTTGTCCTTATTATCACAGTTACTCAGCACCATTATCAGTACAGAATCAATATTTCCTAGTAAGCCAGTAACTCTCCTGGTAAAGAGCCTGGCTGACTCAGCTCTGCATTGGCAAATCTGGGCCTTGGATTGCACCAGGTGTTCTCTCCACACATGCTGCTAAGAGCATTAGCCCAGAATATCTTTGGTAACACCTGCCTTGAGGGTGCTTATAACCTCTTTACCTTGCGAACAGACAGGCACCAGCCGAGGGCTCTACCTTGCATAAGTAACTGACCTCAAGACATTGACCCACATATTGTGGGTCGACCCATTTAGCCCCGACTAGCATAGTTTTATCTGATAGAGGATTAAAAAGCTGTTTCATTTCATGCTGAATGCTCAGCTCCAGAGACCATGTTTTTTTTTACACTGCTGCACATTTTTTACACATCCAGAATGACTTGCATATTCTAACCTACTGTGATGTCCTCATTTCTGTGCTCAGGTATATGTGGACATACCTGGGGCGATTAACCTGTCCTTGAATCTGCCCCTGGTCATCGGAACCATCCCTCTCCACCCCTTTGGTTCCCGCACTTCCAGCGTCAGCAGCCAGTGCAGCATGAGCTGGCTGGGCATGGGACTGCCTGAGAGGCCTGAAGGTAGGTTGAATCTCATGATCATGGTTTATATTTATGACTCTATTCTGAGTATGATTTCCTAAAATGCTAACATGTGGCTTGCTCTTCTTCTGTAGCTCCTCCAAGCTATGCAGAAATTGTGACAGAAGAGCAGAGGCAGAGCAGTCTGGATGTGCCAGCAGCCCGTGAGGAGCTGGACGGACCTCTCTTCGCTTACATTCACGAATTCCGCTTCCAGCCTCCTCCTCTGTACTCTGAGGTAACCACCAAATAAAATAGAGCAAATCATTTGTCCATTTATTTTTCTATTACAGACTAAATTAAATAATCTCTGTGTTTCATTGAATAACTCCTCTTGTTCTGTTCTCTTCCCCACTCCAGATCGATCCTAACCCAGATCATGCCAGCCGTACAGAGGAGCGCAGGCTTGATGCCTGTCCATCACGCTGAAGGGTATTCTGAAATTCCCCTGACCGACTTGGGGAACTCCAAAGGAACCCGCTTGCAAGGCTCAGCTTTGTTTATTTTTCTCTAGCAACAACGTTCACGCAACGCTGTTGACAACAAGAGAAAAGTATCCAACCAACCAAGACTTGGACAAATACTGACAGTTGAGTTGGGTTGGACAAATCTGTTCCTGCCTTCCCTCAGTGAGAGAAACAGGAGTCACTAGTTTGGGGTATAACTTCCTTCCTGTGTCAGCCTGCTGAGGGTTGGATATGTACAGATGAACACATATTCAGTCTGTATGACACCCCCCCCCCCTCCACACTAGTAGCAAGAGCCCTGGTGGTAGTATTGACAATGACGAGGAATAATCATCAAGGCTCAGCCTGCAAAGCTCCTCTTTAACCCTTGATTCTTCTGTACTCATGGCACATAAGGACATGGCTCCTCACACAAAGGGCAGGACTAATCATGTCCAGACTCCAGCAGAATCACCTAAAGAACATGGGATGAAGAGAGGAAAAATAACAACAACCACCATAATCTGTATGAATGAAAGCATTCAGCGGCAGTGGTCAACCACAGAGCAAAGACTAGGTCCTCCTGCCTCATTTGGGATTTTGTTTTGCACATTTTATTCTTTACTTGAGTTGTGTGGCTCTGTTTAATAAGAAAAAAAATCACTAATAGTTTGGTTTCAGTCTGGTAATGCGCCAGACTAAGAATATGAGACTGCTGGCTTAACTTTTAAGACTTTCATCTGCATAACTTTGAGCAACGCTGAGAACAGGATTTGATTTTGGAAAAAAGACTGAAAAGGACAAGAACAATGCACTGAATTTGTTTAAGCTGTTTAAGAATTTTCTTTTCCCCATATGACATTTCCTCAGTGACTTATAACAACTAGACTGGACTTTTACTACAACTGCAGCACACTATCTTCATCTGGAAGCTCTTTAAGATGTTGCCTCCTCAGCTTGGATCCAAGTGTGGCTTCCCTCCTCTTTTAGTTTAGTTCTGTTGATCTGTTTTTGGTATTTAGCTCCAATCGTAGAATAGCTTTTTAACCTTTTTTGTGTTGAGGTTGCTCTGGATTTGGATTAGGAGGGTTGCAGACCTACATTTGCCACTCAAACTGTAGTTGAAGAAAATAGTGTGAGTCTGTGTGTGAGTGTGTGTTTGAGAGGGTGGTACCTTGTGGAGGGACTCGCCTCACCCTAATTGCCTGCAGCCCCTCTACTCCTAATCTCAGGGCAAGCCAGGCTTGCATAACTGCCCAAAAAAAGCACTGTCTCAGGTGGTCTTCTCACTTGCCAAACGGTTGGGAAAAAAAGAGAAAAAATGTTATAGGTTTTAAATTGCACTGTTAAAAATAATGAAGAGTTTTTTTTTAACTACCAAAACAAGAGAATAGACCTGCAGCAAAGAAAGGCAGCTTTCTGAGATTAATCACATTCCCTTTTTGTCCTGCTGCACTTGCCCAGTTCATCCAGTAACAGTTAGATTTTCCCAGACCAGTGAAGCCAGAATGCTAGATATAAAAAAAGAGAAGGAAACAGGGGAATGACACTGCTTCTGTATTAAAGGAGCAAACCCAGCACAAATGAAAAGCTGGGGACATTGCTAAACTTCTGTTGAGACTGGTCAGAACAAGTAGTAGTAGGTTGATATGAGTAATACATTGGTTTTCTAACTCATTCAACACAAAAGACCAGCTACAACAGAGGTTTGACATAGTCAAGAAAATAGAAAAGCAGCACTTTTTTGATAAGAAAAAAAAAAAAAAGCATTCAATGGTGAAGGTCTGGAGAATAACCATTTGGTACTAACCACGTTATAATAGAGATTTTTCAGTAAAGCAGTGTTGTGTAGGACGTTATTGCATTATTTAATTTTTTAAAGATTAGTGACTTTTTCTAAGTTTACATTTTAAACGTAGCTGACACCAGTTTGTATGTGTTGTGCGCGCGTGTGTGTGTGTGTGTATGTGTGTGCACGCTCTTATCGAGATCCAGCGGCAACTAAATATACAGCTTCTGACAGTAATCGACAAACTGCAGATTATTAAAGTGATCTTATCTTAGTGGCCTTGACACAGAAAAGACCTGATCATGACTCTTCATTTTTCAGCGTCTGTTAACTCTTGTTCTCCTTTTACTATGTTTGTTCACATCTGTATGTTTTTAGACCTTTCCATGTTTATTCAAAAGGACAAAAAGGGAAGAGGAAAAAAGAAAAAGTCCTTTGGAAGCAAGTGTTTTTAAAAAAAAAGACATCCTGGACAGGCCTCTTGATTGTGTTATTTTTCCGAAGCTGATGAGGGTTGACTTTTTTTTTGTTTTTCTCCATGTATTTCTGGGCATTGGTTTAGTTTGCTTGCTAGTTTAACAAGTACCCTTCCTGAGTTAGTTTCCCTGACCTCTACAATCCCCCTCAGGCCTGGGGGTGGCAGCTGTTGATCAGTACCCATCCCCCCTCGAGAAACATTTAGGTAACATGGGATAGCAGTCAAACTGCTCCTTATACTGTTCTATCCTGTTCTATTTGTTTGCAGTTCTTTGTTTGGATTTTACTTAGGGAAAGAGAATCAAGCTACATGGTAATGAATAAGCTTACATATTTGTTTCAGGTTGGTCAGTTCCATAGTCCATTTGCTTGGGCCTCAGAGTAGTCCAGTGTCAAAACTAAGCTAAACTCCTGACCTAATAAAGGCAGGAATTGAAATGTTAAAGAACCTGGGAGACGGGATCTGAAACATTTTAGAAACAAAGTGCAATATCACTCACTGAATTTTCCTCATTCTCCATTTGTATGTTTGTTTTTATCTTTTTTTTGTCTGTTAATCATGACGATGTATAGATATTCTATGAATATACTATGTTCTGAATGATTTAACCTTTTGTCTAGTTCTTCCTTTTGATTTGAATAAACTTTTTGTTCTAAATTACAATGGAGTGTCGGTCACTTTCTTTGTGCAAGATTGAACACAAGTGCACCATATACACTACATGCTTTCACATATTAATAAATGCACTTGATTTAGTGAAGATAATTACTTTTAACATTGGCCTTTGTTTTGTCTGAGCCCCAATCTTCGACAGAATTTCAACAAAACATCTCTTCAGCTGAAAAGCAAACAGAGTTAAAATGACGCTGCAAATGATTAATCATTACCCATCGCTTGACCCTGATAGAAACCTATTTTATTTGGGTCATGACAGTTTCAGATTAGAAACACACAGGTTGCCACTCTGCTGGACCCAGATTATCCTCTAAAAACTAGTACAACACTGTCCCTAGAGGTGGTTTGAAAACTGCACCTGGCCATGCTGGCAGAAAGATTGATGATAGTAAAGCCCTAAGACTTATACTAAAGACTATCATACTAAGTAGTAGGACATCACCAATTCATTGGAAAATACACCATACTTAAATTTAAAGATTGTTTTTAGGGCATGTGTCAGGCAGTCAACCTAAATATCTGTTAATGTCCCAAAAAGTGAGACAGATTTATTCCTCTTTTAAATCTTTTTGTACATGTCCAAACTGGTCTTTACTGACCAAAGTTTCCAGGGATTAACTGGGGATACCTCAGGGCAGCAGAGGAAAAGCAAAGACGGAGAGAAAAGCTGCACTATCCTCTTTGCTTAAGTGCCACTTATGTGAATTATGGGACTGCTTCAGGTCTGAGTGATTCGGAGTGCCAAATAATTTACTCAGAGTCTTCTTGCCTTATATTATAGGCTCATTTGTTTTATTGATAGAGCAATTAAATAAAGTTAATGTCCCTCAGATTAGATCTTTTCATTCTGACCAGCTAGGGTTAGGTGTTCGTATTAAACAACACATTTCTGATAAACCAGATGTGATGTGAAATTATGATCCAGTGTGTTTGAATATTTAAATTCCTTGGACGAGTCACAGCATCCCACTCTAGGAAAGTCTCAGTGAAACCTGATATGAGTTGACGGCTACAGGCCAAGTGAACCACAGCCATAGGTCGACATATAGCAAAACACATGATTTATTGATAGCTGCTGAATGATGCGCAAGAAAGAACATGCTGGCCTGCTACAGAGCAATGGTGGAGGAGGTATCAGCATGAGACTGAAATGTACTGACAAATTTATTTTGTAATATCCAATACACAAGCATCAAATAATTACTTTTGTTGACTTTGAGCTCTTTTTTTGTTAACATTCACATTTGACATTTTGATACATATTACCACTTAGATTAGTGGGTTGGGAATCTTGGTAGCTTGATTTGTTTCAAATAAATATTCAAGATATATTTGCATATGTTGCAGCTTTCTATCTTTAAATAGGGCTGCTCTCATTCTGGTACCAGTTTGTGTACAAGACCTATTTATAACGTTCAACAGTCTCTTTTGTGTGCAGTCAATCAATTTTACTCGTAGTGTATCGACTTGTGTATTACGTCAACCCAGTTAATTGATTCTGTTGGAAAATACGAGCATGCAAAATGCAAAGCGATCTCTGAACGTCATTGCCATTGCATAACTGAAGCTGGAAGTTGTTGATATCTGAATGTCATCTATAATGTAGGAACCCTTCAGTAACTGTAACTTTAGTAACCTTTACCCAAAACTGATGTGTACAAACTGACAGCTCATCAACTTTAGTGGGAATTTTTGCACATTATCAGTTTGAACCAGCATCAGTGATGACTCAGCAACCCTGTCAGCTTTGACCAAGCACTTCAGTGTGCCTTTGTCATCTCCCCTCCTCCCCCCGGCCCCCTTTGACTTTTGTGGGCCCAGGGCTTTGTGGGTGTCTGACCCGTGCAGATTGAAAAAAGGGAGGAGGGGATTATTGAGGTAGAACATATATTGGGGCGACGTGCATGCATGTGTGTGCGGTTGGAGTGTTGATTAGCAAGTGCTGACACTACACAGGCCTCAGCTGTTTCCTCTCACCAGCTAATCCCACTACCCAGAAGCCCCTGTGATCCAGAGGTTCCCGACAGCTTGCTGTGACCAGGCACGTTCAGCATGGATGAGGAGGGTTGGACTGAGGCCCCCGTACCCCTGCTTGCCAGTGCCACATCATCACTGTGACATAATAGAAACACACACACACACACACACACACACACACACACACACACACACACATCTCTACACTGAGGGTTGGAGCTCAGCATCGATGCGAGCCCACGCATTCCTCAAAACAATAGAACAACCAAAATTACAACAGGTCTGAAAATGTTATACGGGAACAGATCCACAGAGAGGGATTAATCTGAATAATTTTCATAAATGTGTGTGAGGAATTTTATGTATACTATCCTCCTGTGCATGTCAGCCTGCAGGTATAAAAATGACACCAAGATCACGCTAAAAATAATATCATACATAAGTCCCATAAAACATGTTTTTTCTGAACTTTCTGAACATTTGTTGAAAATAATAAGTTGGTGATTTAGTTATGTTTACGTAGTCATACAGACTGACCCTTTGGAGAGGCAGTCTGACCTTTGCAGCTGATGAGTTGAATAACTGACAGAATTGAGCTACTGTTTAGTGATCATTAACACACTTGCTACTCTGTGAATCTCAGCTTCTTTGTGTCAAACATTAATTGTTTCTAACTTATTTACTGAATTAAGCAACAGGAAAAGTTCAACAAGGAAGGTCAACACTTCCTGGCACTCCACACACACAATGGTCACATGATTTTATCTCTGTTCTTCTTTTTCTACTCGTCCAGAAGCCATTCTCAATCCACCTCCCTGCTCAATAAACTCTTTGGCACTCTATGGGCTATCCTCATTACATCAAAGCCTTTTCTGTGCTCCTCCATGCCAGCACCCCTACTATCATCCAGGACCTGCAGAGCATTATAAGTCATAGCTAGTCTTCAAGTTCATCATCTCACACACTTGAACTCATCTGCAACATTAGTCACTTATTCAGGAATCAGGAATATTACAGAATAATTTTTAAGAGATCTGTGTTTGCAGGTATTCAGTTAATGCATCTTATAGGGAAGTACACCACAGAACACCAGTCACTAGTCATGAACTTTTCTATCAGCCCTTGCTAACACACACACTCACACACACAGCAGCAGCACTGCAGCCAGCTCTCCATCTGTTGTGAGTACAGACTTGCTCTGTTTTTCTCATTGGGCACAAAGAAAAGAACTGAGATAGAGCTACAGATTGAACAGAGGCAGAGGGTTTTTTTTTTTTTTTTTTTTTTTTTCAAGGGCTTTTCTTCATGATCTTTCTCAGCAGCTGGTTTATTCCAGTTTGAAGCACTTCTGCATGAGGAGGCTGACAGCAGAGGCTGCTGCTCATCACTGAGAGCCGGACTGTTTTTTTCCATCCTTGCCAGGAACAAGTTGTTTCCTTGACTGAATGCACTATGCTGGACAGCTGAAAGAGAGAATAACATACCATGACACAAAGCGTGGCCTCTCACTTTTCTTGATTTAGCTGGAGAACATTAAGATGAACCTTTTTTCCCTGCATCTTGTCTCAACACATGTATCAACACATGTCACACATTTTAAATGAATATTGATACGGTGCATGCATGTCAACAGCAGCTGCTGCACATAAACGGTATATGTCACTTGTCAGTTTATAGACTGCTTGACTTAGTCCCTCCATGAAAGACATATGTCAGATTCTTCTGCTAATCTCAGCCTCAGGTCTCCAGAGTCTGTCCTCACGTTGATGATGTGTCATGCTTTCTGTGTAGTGTACAAACATTTAATTTTCTGTTTTTTAAAGAAGGAGGAAAACATTGCTATGGTTAGCAGTAGTAGTGGCACAACACCCTTGATACACGGACAGAGTATAATTTATGATGATGGTGCTAATCGAAAATCTTTTTAAATATGCCCAGTGGAGCAGTATGGGCTGTTGTGGTCCTCCATTTTTAGTATGGACAGGAACCTGATAGCCAGTGTGACACTGTGCTATGTTCCCATGCCAGGACTCCCATCCCTGCCATACCAAAGTCCCAGCATGGTCAGCATTCCATCTCCAACCATCCTTCACACACACACACACACACACACACACACACACACACACACACACACACACACACACACACACACACACTGCACTCCAATGGCATGTTTGCAACCCTTACACAGCACCACCAGTTCAGGACCTTGCTGTTACTACTGTAGGGAAAAGCCCTGCACAGTTTGCACCTCCTTTTACATTGGCAAAAATAGATGGCCTTAAAGGAAGGGGTCAGGTTCAAGGTACTGAAGATAATACTAGGTGTCATTTGAATTGTCCAAAGAGAAATACTGAACGTCCTAAACTAGGGCCTTCTTAATCTCTAAATACACTTGTGAGACATAGGATGAGATGTAGTAAATCCAGCCCTAAAGTGACCGTTGTAACTGACACTGCAGAGTCATGCAAAAACAAGCTCATTGCACAGTGGAGAGTGACGACCATCCGATTTCTTGTTACTCAGGCTGCAGAGGGATTGAAAAGCCTACAGCTAAACTGTTGCATAGGTAGGATGTCAGTCATGCTCCATTATACCTTTATCCCAGCAAGCAAAGTAAACACAACGCTTTGTCAGGCCTGATTATAATATTTTAAAATCCAGTCAGAGCCAAGCCACAAGGAAAAAGTCACATACAGTTCATTGTTGACAGATTGCATTTGGACAGATGCCTTCTTTGCTCTTTCCCTCTCTTTTCCAGCATTTGTTCACAGAATTTTGTGTATCCACATTGTTTCCTTTTACTCCTAAAGTTTCCATCTTAAGTCTCACCTCATCACCAGATGTGCTTGACAGGCTTTGCAGAAGCAAAAGCTGTTTGGATGGCTAAGCCAACACTACAAACATGAGATGGTATTTCTTATCATAACCGTGTGGGGAAGACTGGTGGCTTTGGGCGCTCTGCATGGACATGGACCAAAGGAGAAAAACAAAGTCAGACTGACATT